TTGTTGTTAACATTCTTTTTTCATTCGGTTTTTTCAGTTACGAGTCCTTTTTGTAAAGCTGATCGTTTTGTGTTCATTTTGTTTAGTTCTTTTTTCGTAACAGATTTAATATTTAGTATAGAGCTTAGAAAAAATTCGCAGTGTGAGATAGGCAAGAAGTAAAGCATGTAGCAACATCAGCACGGCAAAGGGCATTCCTTTAAAGGCAAGGAAGGGCAAAAATATTTTAAGTCAAGTGATAGCGATTGCTGTATGAGTCGTACAATTTTTAAATCAAGCACGGGCAACGCCGGGCCATGCCGCTAGTTTCTAATAAAAATAACATTTTTATATAAAGATTTTACTGTTATTAGCCAGCCTCTTGTTTTTGACAACATATTTTGAAAAAAATATTAAAATAGACATTATAGATTTTAATATAATAAAATATAATAAGTTTATTTTGCAAATTGATCAACTGACAAGCTTTCCAACAGAACAAGTGTTGGTAAATAACATGGCATAACATCTACAAATGTAATGACAATAATGCTTCATCAGTATTATAAAATAAAGATTATCTGAAATGTTATTGATCTTCGATAATTTGGATTTTATACACGGATTATAATCAACTTGCTATGTTTTGTTTTTTTATTTTTTTTATAAATTCTAGAATCCTCATTCCTATAGTCCAGTTCACACTTCTCCCCAGTCTTTTGAACAAGAGCAAAGGTTAATCTCTTGTTCCTTGTTTAGGATTGGGTTTCCAGTTCCTTCTAAACTCTTCTCATTCTCTTTCAGTCCCAGTAGCCCCTTGCGTTTTAGTGGGATTATTGCTTTGCTTGGGATGAATTTACCAAACTTTTAAGCGAATGAAAGGAAACCAAAGTTCCAAAAGACCTAAATCCGTACTTCTACATTCCTGTCGACACACTTCTTATAGGTTTATCCCTTGTTCTCTGTTTAAGATTGGGTTTCCATTCTTCTTGTTCAATTCCACTCCCAGTAGCCTTCTTGCGTCTTAGTGGCATTATCGCCTTGCTTGGGATGAGTCGATTAAAAAATGAAGAGAATTTGCCGAACATTTGAAAGAAAGGAAAGAAGACAAGCTTCTACTAAACTAAAAGATGGCAGGTGGATTCGAAGACATGACAATTCTACAACAACGAGTTAAAGAATTGGAAAAAAAATGTCAAAAACAATTGCAATGCATGTTGGTTAAAAATCATCTGAACAACATTATAGAAAAAAAAGTTTAAAATGATGCCAAAGTGTTGTAACCTAGGAAAGGTACTGAATAGAATAATCACACAAATGTTAGTAATGAACAATAATACTTAGGACAAGAACAACACATATAAGATTCGCCAGCAGCACGTAGAAGAAGTAGTCAACTGCTAGAAGTAAATCAAGTGAATTCAATAATGAATCTTCAAATGCAGGATATCTACCAACCACCCCACGCAGTCAGATGTGTCACAAGGCCGAATTTAATGTAAGGTATCCGAGCCCGTAGGCTCGGCCAAAAATCCCCTATAGACACCGTATAAAACGGAGTCAGGTAGCTGTTTCCCGATACGAGACTTTGCTTTCGACATAGCCTCGCCTGTGGATTCTCTCCGCCCGGAGGCAGAGAGTTTGACCAGCACAAATGGAGACGAATCTCCGACTGCAGACAAACATACAGTTTTTACTACTGTATTTATGTGAATGGGGATATACCCGTTATCTACTGTAGGTATGCTACGACACAGAAGAATATAGGATAATTTCCGAAAATGTTCTAAGCTACAAATGGCAAAGACATGTCTATTTTGGAGCTTCTCCTAAACTGGTTGCCAACCATAGCTACAGTTCCTAGTTTGCTATGCTATTTAACGCGTGCCTACGTTTGCTTTGAGGAGTGGAATTCGGTATGGTCTCATCAGTTTAAAACTGAATTAGCTAGATGTAACCGTAAGTTCTATGCTGACAGTTTCTTCACTTCTCACTTGTGGAACTCTCCTCCAGCTTCATGCTTCTAAGTCAACTTTGATCTTCAAAAATTTAAATGTAATGTCAACCGCTATCTTCTGTCTACTTAATTCCTCTTTTATTGTTTCCATCCTTAATAGTGTTTTGACTCATATTCTCTCATTCTCGGTAACCTCTTACGGCGTCTTAGAGGCTTTATTGCCTTACGGGGGGCGAAATGATTAAAAAGAAAAGATAATTTGCCAAAGATTTGAAAGAAAGGAAACAAAACACGGTTCCAAGAGGGCTGAATCCAATAATCTAAAAGATGTGAAGAATATCTGAATACCAATTTTAAGGATTAGAAAGCAAACTCTCCACCCATGTGTGAAGGAATTGGAGAAAAAAGAAAATGTCAAAAACAACTGTGATGTACGCTGGCTAAAATATCACCTGAACAATATGGGAAAAAAAATAAAGTTTAAAATGATGTCAGAAAGATATAGGTTAATTTGCGAAAATTATTTAAACTACAAGTGGCAAGTACATCTTGGAGCTTCTCCTAGAGTGTTTGCCAAACATAGCTGGAGTGTCTAGTTTTCTATACTATTTAACCCATAACTGGAGGAGAAGAAATTGATTCTTACATAGAGCCAGGGTATTTGTAGTGAAGTGAACGCAGCAACCTCGACAAGAGGATCCTATTTACCGCAGCGATAACCACTACACTATGTGCATATCCATACTAGTAAAATCCGTGTTAAATCTATCAAAATCAGTTTTTTTAATACTTTAGGATGTTTTCGGTTAATCTCCTTTATTATTATTATTATTATTATTATTTATTTGGTTTATTTTTTATCTGTTCCTTCATTTTTTCGTACACTTCCAATTATCGATTTTGGTAACATTCCCAAGTTACTTAAAATTCTTCGACGAAAATTTCTTGTAAATTTTCAGATATTCTTTTTTTTTTCTTTTTTTTTTTGTCGTTATTTTTTGTTTTGATGTGAAATAGAAGAAATCGCCATTGGTGAGAGAAAAGAGGGCAAAAGAAGCAGCTTTTGACATATCGATCATATTCCCACCCCCCCACTGGCAACAACTATCCCGCCACCACTTTTGACACTGAATAAAATCCAGAACATACAACGCCCTACATATATATATATATATATATATATATATATATATATATGTGTGTGTGTGTGTGTGTGTGTGTGTGTGTGTGTTCTGAGGAAGAAAGGACTAAAGCTCGAAAATAAAGAGGACGGAGGTGGAGGGAAAAACTGATGTTTAAAAAATTGAAAAAGATTTGCAGAAAATCCCAGAAAACGGTGAGGCTATAAAAGAAAGAAAGAAAGAAAGAATTAAGAAAGAAAGAAAAAAAATTCAAAAAAAGCCAAGAAATTGTAAAGAAAAAAAAAGTTTAAAAAGCTAAGAAAGAAAAGAAAGAAAGAAAAAAAAAAAAAAAAAAAAAAAAAGTAAGAAAAGAATAAGTAATGACAAGAAAAGCTGGCGAGGCTATAAAAAAAAAAAAAAAGAAAAAAAAAAAAAGAAAAAAGAAAGAAAGAAAGAAAGAAAAAAAATAAATTTTTGTTTATGAATTGAAAAAAATCGGCGAGGCTAAGAAAGAAAGAAAGAAAGAAAGAAAGAAAAAAAAAAAAAAAAAAGAAAGGAAGAATAAGAAAGAAAAAAAAAAGATATTAAGATATAAAAGAAAAAAAGAAAAAAAGAAAGAAAGAAAAGAAAGAAAGAAAAGAAAAAAAGAAAGAAAAAAAAAAAATAAGTAATGACAAGAAAAGCTGGCAGGCTAAATTTGTTTGTATTTTAATAAAAAAAAATAAAGAAAGAATAAATAAAATTGACAAGAAAAGCTAAAGGCTAAGAAAAAGAAAGAAAGAAAGAAATATAAAATAAAGAAAAAAAAAAAGAAAGAAAGAAAGAAAAAAAAAGAAAAAAAAGGAAGAATAAGTAATGGCAAGAAAAAAACGGAGGCTATAAAAGAAAGAAAGAAAAAAAGAAAGAAAAAGAAGAAAATCAAGAAAGAAAGAAAGAAAGAAAGAAAGAAAGAATAAGTAATGACAAGAAAAGCTGGCGAGGCTAAGAAAGAAAGAAAGAAAGAAAAAAAAGAAAGAAAAGAAAAATAAAGAAATTCCAGAAATAAAGAAATAAATAAGTAATGAAAATTTAAGAAAAGCTGGGAAAGCTAAAAAGAAAGAAATAAATAAATAAAAAACAAAAAAGAAAGAAAGAAAAGAAAGAAAAATAAAAAAAGAAAAGAGAAAGAAAGGAAAGAAAAGAAAGAAAAAATTTTTAAGGCCAAAGAAAGGACAAAATAAAGGAAAAGAAAGAAAGAAATATTTTCAAAAGAAAAAGAAAGAAAGAAAGAAATAAAAGAAATTTAGGAAGAATTGAAAAAGTTAGAAAAGCTATAATCGAGGCTATTTTGAGAAAGAAAGAAAAAAGAAAGAAATTCCTGAAGAAAGAAAATTCCAAAGAAAGATAAATTTAATTTAAAAAATTAATATTGAAAAATAAAGAAAAGAAAAAAAGAAAGAAAGAAAAATAAAGAAAGAAAGAAAGAGGTTGAATGATAAGAAAAAAATCTAGTGAGGCTGTAAAAAAAAAGAAAGAAAGAAAGAAAAAAGAAAAGAAAAGAAAAAAAAAAAAATTTTTTTGAAAAGAAAGTGAGGCTGTAAAAAGAAAAAAAATATAGGCTGTAAAAATAAAGAAAAAAAAAAAAGAAAGAAAGAAAGAAAGAAAGAAAGAAAGAAAGAAGACTGTTTTTTTCCAACTGAAATCAGTTCTTTCTATCCCGGAGAAAATGCAGTTCTTCCTTAATGGATGTGTTAAGTTGAAATACAATGCAGAATAAGAAACAGTAGAAAATATTGATTATAAGAGGAAAAAGGAGGAATAAATCATGGAAATCAATTTAAGAAGTTAATTTAGGGTGAAATATATCGTTTCTCCTTTAACCCGACAAATGGGCGACTGGATGAACGGACTAGAGAGAGAAAAAAAACTCACAAAGCATATGAACGGTATAACACTGAAAAGGAATGGAATGTATTTAAAATGACACAACTCGAGAAATCTTCAACTGTGATAGGCTTCCTTAGCATTCATAGCGATAAAATAATTTAAAGACAGGCACAAACGAATTAGGGTGCTCAATATTTGAAAACGCGGAGAAAACAAGGAAAGAAGGAATGCAAGAACAGTGAGGAAAGATGAACAAGTTATGTAAAATTGTTGGCGTCTAAGAGATAACCAATTCGGGATGGCTGAATAAAGAAAGAGAAGCGTCAATAATGGTAGCCGAAAAAAAAACGGTTCATTAGAATCAACTACATTACTTCAAAAATAGAAAAAATATCTTACGATAAAAAATATCAAATATCGACGACGGCATATAAACCTTAATTTATTCACAACAAACACACACACACACACACACACACACACACACACACACACATTACGTGTTTCGTACTTCAGACTAAAGTGTTAAAGTGAGGTTTACGTTAATGTAATATATGAACGAAGGTGTGGGATACTGAAATTTTAAACTTTTAAATTGAAATATATATATATATATATATATATATATATATATATATGTGTGTGTGTGTGTGTGTGTGTGTGTGTGTGTGTGTATATGTATGTATATATGATTGGTGTATACGGAATAAATTCCAATAACCTACAATTACTATTCTTAAAAAAGTGCTCAATACAGAGTAGAGCGAATATAATTATTTATTCAAAATAAATATGTTATAAAATATGATCACGTCGGCGTCACGTGGGCGATGTTGTGAAAACGTATTCCTAAAATATAGTATTTTGAATGAAAAATGAAAAGAATTTTATTTTAAATTGAAACGGAACTCTGATCTTGAAAAATTTCAGTTATCTGTTTTGATTAGTCTTACTCTTATGTCCATCGTCTTTTCATGTTGAATTAAATATAGTCAATGTTAATTATGTTTTATGAATATGTCCTGAAGATGGTCTACTAGACCGAAACGTCCGACGTTGATATCATATTAGGATTTTTTTTTTGTTTTTTTCCGTATATTTTTCTTCATATATATATATATATATATATATATATATATATATATATATATATATATATATATTTCGTTTTTAACAGTGGCTTTTCCTGCTATTAACTAATCCCTCTTCAGTTATGAATTGAGCGCTCTTGGCTACTGGTTTGGCGTTTGTATAAATCACGTATATAATACGTTAAAAGGTTGTCTGTCGTGCGCCGATAGCTTAGGGGTAGAGTCCCTGACTAATGATAAATCGGTCGAGTTTCGATCCCAGTTTGAAGCAATCGGACGTCTAATCACTCCGATGAGCTGCGAAACACGCTTGTATGTGGATGACTATATATATATATATATATATATATATATAGAAAAGAACAGTAAGATAGATAATCCGATGTTCTTGTTATTTTTTATTTTTACAAAACAGTACTCAATGTAAATTTACAGAGCGTAAATATTATAAATTAACTGATTTAAAATGTTTTTTCGTTACACAGTAATAACCATGTTTCTAAAACTGTAGCTAAAAACTTCAAATTTAATTATATAATTAAATTAAAAGCATTAGTTCCGTTTCAAATTCAAGCGAATATTGGAATAACTTATTTTTAAATTTACTGAATCTTAAACGCACAGATAAATTCATAATTTCCTGTTTCCAAGGATACAGAGAAATCCAATCATTCAGACAGGGGCTGTAGCGTCTTCATTTTTATTAACTATTGTTGTATCAATTATGAGTTACGTTCGAAAAAGAGGTTAAGTTTAGGGAGGGTAGGGGTGTATTTTTCAACGAATTCTGACTTCCGTTAAATGCATGTCGTTTGGGTTTTATTTTTATTAACGGCAATTTTAAAATATTTTTACTCTTAATTACTAATAGACTATATTTCTTTTTAAAACAAGTAAATATAATAGAATTACTTAAATTATTTAAAACTCATTAAATTTAAAAAATAAGTTATTCCAATATTCGCTTGAAGATGAAACTTTAAATTTAATTATATAATTAAATTTGAAGTTTTTATCTTCAGTTTTTGAAACATGGTTATTACTGTGTAGCGAAAAAAAACATATTTTAAATCAGTTAATTTAGAATATATATATATAATATCACTGTATCAGCAGACGGTGGTGTTGAATTCTGAATCATCATCCCTTTCCCTAATTTCAAACTAATAATTCGTGTCACCATGTGAAAATGCAGCATGCAGTCCTTGAACATCCGCCAGGTGTGATAGAGAATGATGAAGAATTGAAAGAAAGAAATGTGAGGAGGGTCTCTATCGATCAAACCCATAGAATGATTATTATTATTATTATGATTATGGTCAAGAATGACCGTCAAGGTCTCTCGAGCATTCATAAAACTCTGCCTGATTTTCATATTACTGAATTTCAGTTGGGTGAAATGTTGTTCAGGCTGACTCAGTAGCGTGTACTACTTTACGGTACAGATGTTAACATATTTATAGTGCCGTAAGATTTGTCTTATAGGTGATAGGGTAATGGTATTTCTGCACGTGAATAAATGGGTTTGTTAGTTTCCATAGAAAATGAATGCAAGAAAATTTCTATTATTAATGAATCAATATAGTCATAGGTCGACTGCAGTTGGAATTACGAAGACATTGAGAATTTGGTGGTTTCATCAATGACTGCGTAGTATATGCTATTTTACTCCTGTCAACTAGGTGCCGCCGAAAGCAGGAGATCCCAACCTGTCCTACTATTTAACCCATAGCTGGGGGAGAGACGGATTCATATCATTCCTAATAGTATTTGCATGAAACTAAATATAACGAAGTTGGCTGGAATTCAAGCTCTGCTCAATGCTTTCTTTTCATAGCCGATAACCATTAAAAAATTATAAGTTTTTATAAATATATATATATATATATATATATATATATATATATATATATATATATATATATATATATATATATATCACTGAATCAACAGAGGTTCCTATTCATCAACAGAATTCTTAATTTCAAACTAATCCTTTGGTGTGAAAAGGTTTCTTGGTCAAATGTAAAATAATTAAGAGAACTGTCCAATAAACAGAATTAAGGAAGCTTTCGCTAAAAAGTAAAAGGAACAGGGTAAAAAATGAAATAATATCAGGCAAGCAAACAATATAAGCAAGGCAAATTAACAGCAAATTTTAAAAAAAAAACAATTTAAGAATTGTCATGACATATAAAAAAAAAGAAGTTCAGACAAGGGAAGAAGGGAGTTTCAGCTGAAAAGCCAGGCAAGTCGGGTCTGAGTCATGTCAAATTACGAACCGGCCTATTTTGTTGGCTAAGAAAAAAAAAATCCTAGCGCCATGCATTTGTATGCTTTTGCCTATAAAAGGGGAGGGACAAGTGTTCTACAGCCATTCCTATGGTTTGAAATCAACGCATATCGAAAGCAAAAGGAACAATGGAAGGCAGCGAGTCACCTCTCTGACGAAATTGTGTAAATGGATGGCAGAACGGAGAAGTATCCGGTATATCGAAGAAGGAGAATATCTGACCTTTGTAGCGTCTTACCAATTCCGTCGAAAGCTCTTAGAATATTGGTAAACGTCGATATGGCGTTGATTTTTTTTTCGCTTTAAAACTATATTATCATATTGAGTGGCATTATTAGCGTTGACTTATAATTTTATCAGGGTTTGAGGCCATGTGTGGAGTGGGTAGCCATCGTCAAATGCAAGATAAATGACGAAACTGTCCAACAGAATTAAGAAAGTTTTCACTAAAAAGTAAAAGGAACAGGGTAAAAATGAAATAATATCAGGCAAGCAAATGATATATGCAAAGCAAATTAACAGTAAGAAGGCAAAAAGTTCACAATTTAAGAATTAATGTTGACACACAAAAGCAAGTTCAGACAAACATAGTTTTCTGTCTTCGAGACAAGACAGATCGGAACTGAGTCAAACGGCAAACTGGCCTATTTTGTTGGCTAAGAAAAAAAAATCCCAGCCATGCATTTGTGTGCTTTTGCCTATAAAATGGGAGGGGGGTAAATGTTCTACAGTCATTCCCCATTAGGATTGAAATCAATCCCGTGTCTCCCATTGGCCAATAAATATGAAAACATATTCTTCCATAAATTCAAAAAGAATTCTTAACCAACCATAAAAATAGATGCGCACATGTAACAATGTATTTTCATAAACCGCCCGGCTTAAAAATACACTTTTCTCAAAGGTACATGTAAAAAAAAAATCTAGAAAATTTAAACATTTATTTACTTACTAAAGACTAATTTATAAAAAATAAAATTTTTATAAACAAAACATTCTAGATTGGTTATGGCATCATAAAATGTCATCAAAATCTGAAATGGTAACCAAAGGACCATTAGTTGAACTGATATGGAATAATTACTCCGATATATTCAGGGTGTATCAAAAATACTTTTACAAAATTTTGGGGTGAGTTCCAGACACCAAAACAAAGACAAAATTTGAATAGGAGTGTGTCAGCATAAATGGGGTTTGTGATTTCAAAAGGTTGTCATCATCACAGGGACATTATATAGTCCTTTACTAAAAAGTTCAATTTGAATGTTTGGTTTCTTTCGAATTCTTCTCTGGAAGACGCTGAAATTAATTTTTTGGTCGTGGCACTTGAATCTGCCTTCTGGTTGAGTTCTAGCTGCCAGCTCATCTTTCTTTCCTCTCATGATGATCTATGACCTCTTCAACTGGATTAATCCTTTGGCCTTGAAGTGTGGGGGTTTCAATGCTTGTTTCTTGATGACTAAATGTTTTCTGCAGTTATCTTGGAGTTCTTTCATTAAAAAAAAAAAGGATCACAGAAATATCCATCCATCTGTACTGAGTCATATCAAACTGCAAGCTCGGCCTATTTTATTGGTTAAGAAAAATATCCCAACATGCATTTGTGTGCTTTTGCCTATAAAAGGGGAGGGGAAAGTGTTCTGCAGTCATTCCAACAAATCCCTTGTGCCATGAAATATGTGAAGAGACAGAATGCTATC